TACGTATAGATCATGTTTTGATGTTTATCATACTATAAAATTATGTTTAAACAGACGTACGTGCATTTATCGAAAAACTCAAAACAAAACTTCTTTTTTAAGGAGCTACCCCTGGGGTAAAGAAAGATTAATGGCAAGAGAAATTACATGAGGAAGATATGCAATACCTGTAAGCTGAGATAACGTGATCAATTCTTGTATTTAGTGTCTTTTCTCTATTTTTATTTTTTAAGTACCGGTCGACTTCCAATCATGGGAGGCAAACAGTTGCATCAAAAACTACAGGAATATTTTGATGTTTTATCCATATAGCTTAATTTCTTTATCTATATAATAAATGTATATTGAGTCTTGATATGTTTAGACATTTTTATTATTGATTATTTGAAAGATAAATAATTAGCTAAAAAAATAAATATAGTTGTTTTATTCTGAAGTACACTAAAATAACATTCTTTATATATTTTACATTATAACACAATATATATATGTATATATCTTCGTTTATTAAACGTTAAACCACATATATACGATTATTTTTACATTCTTTAAATAAACCAAGCAATGGAATGCTTAGTTACGGTTATTTAGAACCTTTCCAGCACAAAAACATCGTGATAAAAAATACTATTTTATTTTTAAGATTACTCTGCTATAGGGATCATTGTCAGTAAAATTAGTTATACTACGCTGCAATCATAAAAGAAACATTTCAAACAAAAAATTTGTTAAAATTACCAAAATTATGTTAAATGCACAATAAAATTCAATGAATGAACAGTATGAGATACAACAATAAACTATAAATAAATATATTTATTTACCTTGCTATTATGCGTTCTTGACTGTTCGGGTTGCTAGAGATTTCCTATGTCTTGTTTTTCTCTGAACATCTTTTTATTTCCTATAGGTTTGTCATGTATTTTTATATTACTAAGTGTCACCGAGCGACAAAGCTGCCTTTGTTATAAAAGAACAGTGACAGGATTAATACAATATTGTGAATAGAATGTTAATTAAAAAATTATTTTATCATTAAAAAATTTTAATGCTGAATTTTAAATTAAATTTAATGATATTAAATTAAAATTTAATATACTAAAATACTTTA